AGACTAAGGCTTTGCCGTTCCAGGCCTCCACATTGTCTCGCCACCACACCAGCTCCTCCCTGGCCTGGGTGGTCAGTCTGAAGGTATGGTCGTATGCTCGACTTAGGCTGAGGGCATTGTTTTTGTCTGCTTGTAAGTGACGGAAGTGCAGGGGGGCTGGAAAGACAGCCTGTGTCGAAGTAAGGTGACCGAGTACTCTGGCTAAGTCCCGTATTGCAACCTCCTGCATGCCTAGGATGTTCTGGCATTCTTTCTTTACCCTTCGGACTTTGTCTCGGGGAAGAGCAAGGGTCATAGTCTGGGAATTTATCATGAAACCCAGAAACTCCATCTTTCTTGATGGGACAACATTGGATTTTTGATGGTTTATCAAGAAACCTAGGGCTTCTAAAAGGTTGCAAGTGGTTTGAGCATGCTGTGTGGTTAGGGTCTCTGTCTCGGCCATAATAAGTATGTCATCCAGGTAGATAATTAGCCGAATACCTTGCTTCCTCAGCTGGGACACTACAGGTTTCATAAGTTTTGTGAATACTCTTGGGGCACTGGAGAGGCCGAATGGTAGACATGCAAATTCGAACATTGTTCCTTTCCAACTGAAGCGAAGGAATTTTTGATGATTTTTCCATATTGGTATTGTAAAGTATGCATCCTGAAGGTCTATTTTTATGAAAAAATCCTCTTTCCGTAGAAGGTCCCTTAGCATATGAATCCCTTCCATTTTGAAATGTTCGTAAGGGATGTACTGATTTAATGGGCGTAGGTTGACCAACTGGTCGTTGACCCTCGCCCTTTTTTGGGACCAAGAAAAGGGTGCTTACGAACCCCTGTTCTTGTTGTTGGGGATGCACGGTATGTATAGCTTCCTTCTCTAGCATCTGGGTGATCTCTAAGTCTATTAAGACACTTTGTTCTTGGGTGTGAACCAGGGGTAGGGGAGGGGCCTGTTGATAGGGTACACCTAACAGGTCGATATGGTAACCCTGAACTGAGTCGAGAACCCAAGGGTCGTCGGTTATTAAAGCCCACTGTGGGTAAAAATGTCTTGTTCTTGTTGTTCCGTGCCATAACATCTCTCGAATAGTTCGTATAGTTTTCTTTCTAGGAAAACCATCACCAATGTTGCATATGTTGGGGTCATTTTTGTGCCATGGCGGTTCCTTGAATCTGTCGATAACGTTGGTCATAGAATTTGAACGTATTTTCTTTTAGCACAATGGATACGGCAAATTCCTTCGAAAAGGGGCAGGCAAGATGTGCCGTGTAATTGTCTAGTTAGTATTCCAAAGCCTCTAGACCTAGTTCATGTGGGATATTTGTGTAAAAATTAACGACGTCAAATGACACTAGTAATGTTTCATTGGTTACTTCATTTGGCACATAATTAAAAAAATCTAGGTCATCGCAGATATAACTAGGGACTTTTGCGCAGAATGGCTTTAGCACGATGTCAATAAAATTGCTTAAACAGCGCGTTAGCGAGCTTGGTCTGGCTACAATGTGTCTCATTTTGGAAAGATATTCTGGTATCCTCAGGATATGGGAGACAATCAAGAAATGCTAACGCAAGGATATTTTGTCAAATTTGCAAAAAATTTTGACAAAAAGAGGGAACCAGGAGTCGAAATGCAAAAGAGCTCTAAACAGTGACTGACTAAATGCCATTTCAAAAATCTGTAAACACATTCTTAAGGACTGTCTTAGCAACATACCAGTACAATATTCAACCTCCATTAATGAACAATAACATAGTTTCCCTCAGGGGCGGATCCAGATCGTATCAACTGATACGGTCAGATTTTCCAACTAAATATAGAACAGTAGAAATATAACTACAAAGCCGCAAGTAAACATTTCAAACGTTACCAACTACAGCTGACTGTTATTTGTGCAAAAAAAAACATCAAGTATTTATCATTTTGAATCTTCGCTAGTTTGTATTCTATACGGCCCGTAAAAGTAAACCACTGTGAGGCTGACAGTGGGCAAAAATAAAGCGGAAACCCTTGGTGGGAAAACCCCGCAAATTGATCTTTTTTCAAAAGCGCGGCGCGCTGTATACATTTCACCGATCGCTTTCCAAGGATGTACCGAGGGTTTGGAAGAAATGCGCCTACAATCATGATACGGTCTTCGATATGGTCAGCACCATTTTGTTGCTAAAGATAGTAAATCAACGTATCAAAAATGTTTGGAATGTTAAAATCACTGCATCAAGCCAATGAGATCGCGCCTTGGCCTAGTAATTGTTGTGATATACATTATGCATTTTAAATTGGCATTGTTGATTGGTCAATTTGGACCTGTGTTCGTGACTGAGTTTGTCGTAATGATTAACCTTTCGTCATGGCGCTTGCCAAATTAAGACGGATTTTTGAGCGCGTTTACGCCAAGCAAGATGGGACGATTGAACTAAAGCTCTTTTGAGAAAATTGTGAGAGTATTTTACGCAGCAGCATAAGTGCTAAACAAAAGGAAGGTGAAAAGGGCACGGTAACCGTGAGAGTATGCGGATTCTCGAGGCTGCAGTTTCCGAAAGTTCTGCTGGAAAGATGTGGTGGACATGTTCCTGTGAGGTATCATATTTAATTAAATAAATAAATTCATATGAAATAATTTTCATGACATAACAGGATTGCCACAATAGCTAATATTTTAAAACGTTTAGCCAGCTTTTACGATTAGATATGTATTTAATATGTGTTCTATGCAAATGTATTATGATAAGGATCAATTCATGATAATGATATGTTATAATATTGCTATCAGTTGATATACTGGTACCCAGTATGTAAATGAGATTATACGTGAGTATAAAAATTTACAGTCCAAATTTAACAGCACGACAACGCTTTTGTGTAATTGTTATATATTATTATTGTTATTGATAAGCCAAACTAACACATACTGACATACATGAAAAAAGCTAAGAGTTTCTCACTTGACTGTGTTTTTATATTGAATATTATACACTGCATATCTGGTAAAGTACTATTTGTATTATGATATCTGCATGTAAATATTAAATCTGATTTGTCTCAATACATTGAACTAACCGAACATATAAGGCAAAAGCAAAGTTATAGATACCATAAAATTCAATTGCTATCTTGGCCATTGATGTCAACTCAGTCATGTTAAGTCAACTACCCTATTTATTCACTCTACATTGTTTCTCTGTAGTGTTGACTGTTGAATAATTATACAGTAATACATTAATTATTAGACATCTAGACTGAACATCTTGCAAACTTGTATAAATATACAGGGGTCTCATGGCAGTGGGTCAGGTTATATGGAGATTCAAAGGATTTTAATTTATAATTGTCAATTTAAAACTCCAAAATTAAATGAACATCCCCTACCCCTTATTTTCAATCATTTTGTCATTGAATCTCTGTATACTGTAATTTCATAATTTTAACTATATAATAATTGATGTACATGTAATCCTACAAATCTCAATTTTATAAAACAACGTAATTTAATTGGAAAATGGTAGGCCTTATAAACCCTGACATAATAATGTAAATGATAGAGTTTTAATGAGCCCAACATGTATGCTTACTACTTCAACTAGACGTTATTAAAAGGGTTTAGTCCTGGCCAAAGATGCTTGGGCTAGCTCTGTAACAAAAAATGGATACAGAACTTGAAATATTAATTTCTTTGATATCCTTACATGATGAAGTTATTATAAACTTGATAATATTCATTTACTGTAGAAAAGGACATTCAAAGTTGTGATTTATTGATGTTTCTTCTTAATATTGCATAGCCATTATATAAAATAATATACCGGTACATGAAAGACTATAACTAATTGTGCCATACTGTACATGCTTGAAATCTATGTCCTTAATAATTCCCAACTTGTCTTGCACGACTTTGCATATCAAATGTTGCTCCAGTCTTATCAACTCTAGTCCCTAATTTAGTTTCACGTCATTCACTTTTTCCTTCAACTTCTGCACAACCTAACAAATTCACCGAAGCTGAAATTCTTGAACTCATCTTGACTGGTAAAAAACTAAAGCAGGTTACGTTAGATGTACTCTTTCCCAAGAGAAAGATTGAGGAGAAACAGCAATCAACCCTTGATGACATGTTTTTCCTTGAATCAGATGACGAAGCCTTGAAGAAAGATGGCGTAAGCTTGAAAAAAGTTGACGAAGCCTTGAGGAAAGGTGACAGAGGCTTGAAGAAAGATGACGGATCCTCGAAGAAAGATGCATGGCTAAAGGAGCCATTAAAAGACAGCAATCCTTCAACATGCCATATTACTGTAAAATCCAACAGCAACTCTCACCCTTTTGACATCAGTAACTTTGTTGGCTTTGTAGCGGTGATCTCTGATGCTAAGAAGTATGACGTTCTTTGCAAGGTTTGGAGACCTGAAATAGATTATACCTTTCCAGTTAATACAAACTCTAGAAGACACTTTCGTATGAGTGGTTAACCTCTTTCCCTTGGTTACGTTATTTTGCTGCTGTAGATGGTGGTTTTTGTTTGAATTGCGTTCTGTTTGGTGGCGAAAGCACCCACAATTCCACAAAATTGCAGCAATTATTTAAATTCCCTCTTCATGCAACAACGGCAAGCGTAAAAAAATTAAAAGATCACAACGAGAAGTCTCCTATTGATAAAATAGCGACCGTCCAGCAATGCATTTCAAACAAGTGATGGAGAACCAAAAAATTGCTGTTGATGCTCAAATCAATACTGCAAGGCAGGAATTAATTGAGAAGAACAGGATGCGCCTTCATTCGATTGTTGGAGCGATTTTGACATGTGCTCGGCAGAATATTCCACTTCGTGGTCATCATCATGACGCACACCATTATCTTCGGAACGACACATCAAATCCTGGTAATTTCATTGAAATTCTTAAGTATGATGCTTTGTTGGGAAATCTTACAGACATTGTCTTTCAGAGCTGTCCCTCCAATCAAACATATCGATCCAAAAGTATACAAAATGAGATAATTGAAATCTGTGGCAAAATGGTGACTGACGAACTTGTTGGTGATGTGAAAAGAGCAAGGTTTTTTTCAGTTTTAGCAGATGAAGCAACAGATTGCTCAAACAGTGAACAGATGGCTATGGTTTTGAGATTTGTTGACAGTTGTTCAATGAAAATTCGGGAAGAGTTTTTAGGATTCATTCAGTGTAATGATGGATTGTCTGGCGAAGCATTATCTGTAAACATTTTGCAATTTATCAGCAGCCTTGGCTTACACATGGAAGAATGTCGCGGTCAAGGATATGATGGAGCAGGAAATATGGCTGGCAAGTTCTCTGGAGTTGCTGCTCGAATCCAGCGAAATTTCGATAAAGCTATTTACGTTCACTGTGGTTCTCACATCTTAAATCTCTGCATTGCATCTTCCTGCAGTTTACCTGTAATTCGTGACATGATGGATAACGTGAGAGCTGTTTCTGATTTCTTCAATAATTCTCCAAAACGAACTCTGGTGTTGCAAGAAAGCCTAAAAGTGTTACTGCCCTTGAAAGCCATCAGAAACTGATAAACGAGTGCCGAACTAGATGGGTGGCAAGAATTGATGGTCTACAAATTTTCATCCAGTGTTATTATAAGGCTATCATTGATGCCCTGGATCGCATATCTAAAGGACAAGTCATGCGATCAAGATTCCCGTTACAGAGCAAGTGGTATGAAGAGTGCCATTGAAAAGTTTAAATTTATTGTGGCTCTTGTTGTGGAACGGTTCCTTAAATGTACAAAGCCCCTGACTCTTCAACTTCAGAGTGCATCCCTCGACGCTGGAAAAGCTCATGGAAAAGTCTCCCTTTTGTTCCTAACCCTCAACGAACTTTGATCGGAAATGGGTAAAATGCATTCGAATTTCTATGAAGTGGCAGTAAATTTGGCAGAAGAGGCAAATATAGCACCATCAAAACCCAGAACGACCGGACGTCAAGTTTACCTTGAAAATGTTCCTGCCGAGTCAACTTCAGATTATTTTAAGAGGGTCATTACCAAACCTTTTCTTGACGAGCTAATAGGACAGATGCAGTTGCAATTTTGTGAAGGAAACCTTGACGCTCTGGATGCATTAAATGTCATGCCTGATGTAGTGGTATCTCAGTCGGACTGGACACAACATTTTTCTTGCTTCCTACAAAAATACAAAGATGATCTACCTGATCCAGATTTTCTAGAGTGTGAAAAGAAAATGTGGAAAATACATTGCACGACTTCCATGACAGCAATGCCAACATCCTTGGAGGGTCGACGTTAGATCATATCGAACTACATACATGACGTCATAAAATTTTTAATAACCCTAACCCTAACCGTAATTAAGGTAAAGCCAGAGATACTATTACATAAGTATATGATCACTCCTATACTGGGTATGAGGGTAACAGACATTTACACTCGTGTAAATTTATAAATGTATAAATGTATCATCATTCATTGCCATTTTTATTTCATCATTTTTATTAACCAGCTCTAGAAAGAATTCATGTAAGACTTCTGTTATTACACTTCCGTTATTGCAAAATTTATGACGTCATGTACGTTAGTTCGATATGATCTAATGCTGAGCTCCTTGGAGGAGCTCCTTCCACAAGTTGATCCACTTGCCTTTCCAAACATTCTTGCAGCTTTAAAGATTTTTGGTACTATCCCAGTCACAACATGTTCCTGTGAAAGATCCATTTCTACTTTGCGGCAATTGAAAACGTACCTGAGAAGCACTATGGGTCAAAGAAGATTAAAATCGTTGGCTTTACTTCATGTCCATCGCGAAATAAATCTCGACATTGAAAAAATCATTGATCAGTTTGCTCAAAAACATCCAAGAAGAATGCTGTTTGCTGACCTACTCCAATCCGATGAAACCTGAGTCAATTGAACTGATCCTAAAGAACATACCAATAAATGGAAAAACTCTAATAAATTTTTTATTGTATTAATTTAACTGAACATTTTTCTCCGCTCCACTCCGCCATTGTGCTGCTGTTTCAAGAAGATTATTAACTGAACATTTTTCTCCGCTCCACTCCACTATCGTGCTGCTGTTTCAAGATGATTATTAACTGAGTGATTCCTCCTGCCTACGATATGTTGCTGTTGGACATAGTCTATTTACTGAACAATTTTTCTGGTGTGCTACTTGGTTCTGTTCCAAGATGATTATTAACTGAATGATTCTTCCTGCCTGTCGCTGTTGGAAACAGATTATTTTCTGAACATTTACTGCCGTGTACGATTGGTGCTGTTCAAGATGATAATTGACTGAACAGGTTCTCCAGTCTTCACTTATGTTGCTGTTTAAATATGGTTACCAAATGGAAATTTTTCTTTTTGGCTACTGTTGGTGATTGTTTGGGCAAATCGTGAAGTTGTGGCAATGTGGGCAAAATCTGAAACAGATAAGTTATTATTTATTCTTGACAAATTTTCCATTGCTGATGAAGAGTACCACGAGTTGTCCATGACGGATGGGAATAGTGAGTTTTTAAAGTCCTACCTGATTAAACATTGCAAAGATGAACTGAATAAGCTATGTCACATCACTCGGACTCCTGGATCAGGGCAGGGTGCCCAACTTGACTTTTTAACAGAGTTGAAATCAGTAATTCAAAAGCAGGTAAATATTGCTTTTCAGTAACATATGGTATAATTTATTGCATCATGGATTGTAAAATGACACAGTTATATTTAGAATCCATGATTTCATTTAAATCACAGGTCTGTCTAGAGTCTAAGCAGGCCCAGGACCAAAATTTCCATCCAGGCCCACTCTGAGGTTACCAGTCTAAAAAGCTTACAGTTTTTGTATTTGGTTTAAATTTGTACCATGATCACAGTAAACACTTGAGCCTGGGCGCCCTTTTTACCCCGGGTTCCGGGATAAATACTTTGCCCCGGCAGCCTCTCAACACTTAGTAACTGATTAGGTTGCTTACTGGCCAGTAAATATAAAATGAATAACCATGCACATAATTTTGAAATTCATTTTTAATTATACAATATAGATAGATGAACATATTCTGGATATTTCTGACCCACAACTGAAGCTTCACACTCAAATTGTCTGGTGATGGGGCCAAGATGTCTAGATTGACAAATTTTGTCGTGATTTCCTTCTCGGTGATGAATAGCCAAAAAGATGTCATGTCATCCAAAGGTATGTACTTTACTAAACCCTATTAACCATTTTCAGGTGAAGAAATTTTACACATAATTGATAAATGTTTCATTTAATTAGGTAACCACACTGTTGCCATCATTAAAGGCCATGAATCATATGAATTATTTGAAAGATCTTGTTCTGAGATATTTAAACAAGTGAACAGTTTGGTAAAGGATAGAGATATCACTGTAAATGGCACAAAGATACCTGTTATCATGTATCTCGGAAGGGATTATAAGGTGAATACAATATATTATGCATCAAATTTCATTAGGTCATTCCAGAAAACATCCATACCTCCCCCACAGAGAAATTGAGAGTTAACAGGCCCTCTTTTCGGATGTCCCAATTAAATTACTATAAGAAACAAATTTCCCTCCCCCTCCGGACGGCAGAAATTTCCTCCCCTGGCCCATTCTAACCAAATTGTTCTGAAGATCATATTGGTACAATTAAATTTTTGTTTTTGTTGTGACATAGTTTCTATTACTTAATTCTGGGGATGAAGGGGTCAACATCTGATCATGCCTGCATCTGGTGCCTCATTCACAAATTACAAAGGTAAGAGTGCATTTAATGTTAAATCATGTTTGTTGGAAGCTGTCTGCACAGTCAGCCTGGTCGTGCAGTCCCCTGTGTATCACTATAGCAATTCACGGTTGACTGGATCACAGATTCAGACAAGTCTATCCTTTGGTCTTTTACTTCACGTTCTGTTCACGCAAAACGAGTGGCGCTGCCAGGATTTAATTTTGAGGTGGCAAATTCCAGGACAAATTGAATTTTTACTCTCTGAAATGGTGTTTCCTGCCATTTAGGGAAATTAGAAAAAATGAAGGATTACAGTTTAGGTGTTATTGAATAATAATATAACAAGAACAAGGTAATACACAGGTATGATATGTCCAAGAGTACGGATTTTTACTGGGGAGATATGGCCAGAACATTGGATCACATCAAAGAGTGTGCCAAGAAATATTTGTTTTCTTGCCAGCATCAGCCGCATCAAAGAGTGTGCCAAGAAACATTTGTTTTCTTGCCAGCATCAGCCGCTGATTCATATTCCGTAAAAGAATGTTGTCTTGGATGAGCTTCACTTAATGTTGCATGTCACTGGTCAGTAAATTTGCAAATAGCTTTTAGATTTAAAGATTAAAGATTTAACACATTAGGACCTTATTTGGAATAGATTTAGTACCAACTTTAATTCACACTTAGTATCACATTTTACAATAGTAATACATATGCGAATTTTAAAGCTATAAAAAAATAAGTGAAAAGCATAAACTGTAGCAGTCAGCGCCAGTCACTATTTCATATAATAAATATTAAAGCTACAAATGAGAGGCAAAATAAAGACTCAGGCCCCCTTTACACGAGCCCGGGCTGGCTGCCAACCCGGGTTGGCTCACCAACCCGGGTCAACCCGTCTGCAAATAAATTACTAGTTGCGTTTACACGATAGCCGGGTTGGGACTTCACACCTCGCCAACCCGGGTAACCCTTCTCGAGACCCGGGTTGGCTAGGTGTAAAGGTGTGAAAATTGTGCTAAATTCCTCATGTAAACACGGGTTGGCTTGACCCGGGCTCGTATAAACTGCGACATATGGACTTTGGAAGCAATTATCTTGTCACACGCGCATATCATATTGCATTGAGCGCGCGTAACTTCTCTCCGCTAGTATGGCAAGCAAAAGTAAAACCGGACAAAAATGTCTCAAAAAACCCGCAACAGCTCAGTTTCGGTGGTCACCCAAAATGCTCGAACATTTGATATTGTGTTTAAAACATTATAAGTCGAAGATGAACTACAAAAACGTCGACTTCAACTCGACTTCGACTTCGATGTTGTTGTAGATAATGAACAACAGCATCACACCGTGCATTTGAATGGCTGCTAAAAGCAGAAGCAAAAATGCAGAGGTAGAAACAATAACTTTCCTTCGTTTATCGCCAGTGTTGTTGTCATTGTCCGCCAATTTACACTCTGCTCCAGGCTATCACTCGGAAATATTCCCTAGCCAGCCCGGGTTGGGAATTGCTGACCCGGGTTGGCGAGAATGGTCTTCAACCCGGGTCCGTGTAAACACGATAAAAATATAACCACCTGTGGCGCACCAACCCGGGTTGAAAATCAGCCCGGGCTCGTGTAAATGGGGCCTCAGAACTGATTCGGTTAATGTTTCAAAACCAACCTTAGCAAATCCGCAGTTAGATTACTTAAAGGTTCAAAAGACAATGAATCCAAAGACCAACCACGCCACTTGATGAGGTATTCATAGTCCTATATTAAAATGGACAGTTATTAAAAATGTCCACAAAGTCAATTGTATTTAGGAAGAAAAAGCTCAGCTGTCGA